GCCCTCCCCAGGCTCCTATAAAGGCTCTGGAGCCTGGGGAGGGCGAAAAAAGCATGCAAAAAGTGGGGGGGGTGTCACACATTGCATTATGGGTGTGGCACGCCCACACACGACCCCCCTGCGCTCCCCCCACTTATGGCATGCGAGCCAAAAAAGGTTCGCCATCGCTGGCATAGGGCCTAGTTATTTGAGGGACCATCTGTCTCCCATAGTCTCTGCCTGTCCAGTAACATTGGACAGAACGGATATGCTCCAGGTGCCTTTGATTAAACAGGGCCATCTATCAGCTACCTTCTCTGTTGCAGCACCTGCCTTCTGAAAGAGATGCATATGGTTGTCAGCCTGCTAATATTTGGAATGTCCTTGAAAACCTGGCTGTTCTCCTAGGTCTTGAGGTAGAATGGTTCAACTGAGTCCATGTTGGTTATCTTTTGCTTGCTTGTATGATTTTTTCTTCTGATTCTTTTTCTATTTTTTTGCTTTTTGAAAGTTTAAGCTCCCCATTATTATCTGGAGTCTAAATTTAAATTTAATAAAATAAATTAATAAAACGAGAAGTACTAGAGTCAGACAGCATTTCCTTGTGTCCATTTTCTTCCCCTTTTATCAACCCAGTATAAAAACCTTCATCTATGAGACCAGATCAGCAGTCATATTCTGAAACGGTTGCAATCTTAAGAATGTGTTATCTCAGGCTGATCATGTCCCTATGAGCTAGAAATGTCTTTTGTGGAGAAAGAGTATATGTTTGTGTGGGTGGGTGTATGCCCAAAGGTACCCAGATATCCAAATTATATTTTGCTGAAGCCTGAATGCATGCTGGTCAAACGTGTATCCATTTTAAACCTATTTCCACAGCAACTTACCTGAGAAAACTGCCCTGTGTTAGCAAAGCATCTGGAAACAAGCATTTGCATCTAAGCACTCCAAATTCTTCAACCCTACTACCCTGTCTCAATGATTTTAACAGAAAGAAGAGATTTGTTGTCCTTCATATTCTTTTCTCAGAAGCAAAAAATACTTAATCAATTTAATCAGAAACAGGTTATTTAGAAAACAACCACAAAGATTAAACCTAACGCTAGGAAGTCATTTTTCAAATTAGAGGGAAGAGATTGAAGCTTAAAAATTATATCATCAACATACACACACACACACACACACACCAAATACAAATATATTTCATCCTGATTCTGAGAACATCATCTATTTATCAAAGTGCAAAGCGTATTCTATTTGGAATACACTGAAGAGAGATTGGCCATAAATCCTTCACAAACTGGATTATAGAAATTGTCTTCCCATTATTTGTCAATGCACTTATGCTTTGCTAGAGCTTCATTGATACAAAAGGATCATGACAGGGAATAGAGATGGGCAGAGGAGTTCTGCCTTTCATTTTTCTCCCCATGAAGAAATCTATCTAGCTTTTATCTTCTTTTCCAAAAAAAGCCCAAAGGCTAAATGAGTTTATTTGTCTTGGGTGCAGATGTCAACACTCGAAAAAGAAGTTATTTTGGAAGGCGACAGGTCCTGTTCCATCAATTTCCATCAACATTAATTTCCCCATTCTGCTGTACCTCCTATCGTAAGAGCTTGCCTTCATTTAACTAAGACATAAGCTTGTCTCTTGGAGAGAATTATTTCCCTGCTATATTATTAACTTCAGAACTAACAAATATATATATGGAAAATAATGGGCACATAAAGCTCTTGTCACTTATTTATTAATCAAATTTATACAGCCACTCATCTTATCAAAGGCCACTGGCGGACACAACAGTAAATAAAACAGCCAATATAAACAGAAAAATCTAAAAAAAAATCACAGCAGTTAATAATAATAAAAACAAACATACTAACCCTGAGTGAAGGGAGGAAAGAAATGGCCCGCTCAGTAGTTGAGTCGACAAGACAATCGGCTCCGCTACTGGTTCCCTGGGAACCCCAGGCCTCTCAGTGTAACCAGGTCTTGATGGCCTTTTGAAAAATCAAAAGGGATGGGGCCAATCTAATTCCAGGGGGAAGGATGTTTCATAAGACAGGAGCCATAGCAGAGAAGGCTATCAGGAACAGATCCCTAGCCTCTGGTACTCTCAGCATGCCTACTGTGAGATCTAATGGGACCAGCTGATCTAACCATGGACAGATTTTCTCTATCTCACCTTTTCTGCACTCAGTTTTTAGTTTAAATTTAGTTTACTTTAACATTAGTAACAAAATATATGTAAGGCAGACTTTCCCAATCAGGTGCTCTCAGATGGGTTGAAATTATTGCATTCAGAATCCCCTCTCAGTCAGCCATACAACAGTTATCCCATACAACAGTTATCCCAAGATTTGATAATCAGTAAAATTCTTCACATTTAACTAAGGCTTGGAGAGTATTGGCAGAAGAGAATGAGATAATAAACAGTAGCATACTAAAATATTTATTCCCACAACACAGTCAATTCTTTAAAAGTGCATTGTGGTACTGTTGGATAGCTTGACAAATTCCACTCCTAGAGATATTTAAAAATCAGTAAACAAAATTCTACATCACCCCAGCCTAATCTAACATAAAACAGCCATCTTGTAAAACTCATCTTCTGCAATAATCGAAACACAAGAAGACGTCATGGCTGCCATTAATTTTTGACTGGTCTTAGACTGTAAGACTAAAGAAAACACTGTTCTCCATAAACTCACAAAACAGGTAGTCAGCAGGTGAACTTTTATGCCCCCAAAGAATCAAATGGAGTTCAAGATGTACAAAATTTATTAACACTCTAGTAGGGTAAAATGCAGCTTTTTACTCATTCCTTTTCCCTATTCATGATCAATATATAGAGTCAACAAGAAAAGAATACATCTTAACACCAGCCAAGTCATTGGTTTTGCATGCCTAGAGCAGGCTGGAGAAAATTTACAAATATGGCAAAGGCCTTACCTGGTAAAGGTGACCTTCTTCTTCCTGGATGTCTTTGTTAGGCAAACTGTGTTGTCGTTCATATCCAGTTCTGCAGACACCATTGGGTTGCCTAGCTAGGTCCAGATGGTGATCACTGGTGGATGGGGTCATTCCTTGAGTGGACGGTGAAGGTCCTTTGCGGGAAACTGTTTCCTTTCGATGATGGATCAATTTTCTGATAACATAGCAAAGAATCACACTAAGAAAGTAAGTTTCAGGAATGTCCAATATATCGGTGATACAACGAGCTGAAATCTGTATATATAATGAGCATCTTTTTAAAAAAATCAAGAAATAAATCAAGACTTTTCCTTTACCTATATGAAGTAAGGTATAGGAAACTAAGAAGCTCCTTATTACCCCTATGAGGAAATTCAGCTACAAAAGTTTAATGCTATAGGGATGGAGACAATCTGGTCATTTTTCAAATGTTACTGGATTTAATCACAATCAGCACGGCTAATGGTGAGGATGGATGAAAACTGGACTTTAACGGTATTTATAGCTCACAGATTCTTTTAGCTTTAGAGTACCACTTTTAGTTTAGATTACAGAGCATCTAGCGCCACTGTAAGCCATCGTGTTGTCAGTTAAGAGGATTTTTGAATTAGTGATATCATAATTTGAGTAATCATCAGAGAAATTTGTTTATAGCAAATGTGATTCTCGAAAAGCTTCACGTTCTTCTGCTCTATCAATGCATCCTCTCTTTAACTTGACTTTTCCTGCAGTCCATTTTTTCCTTTTCTTCTATAGCCTTTAATCTCATTTATCTGTAACTTTCTCTGGTTTATTTCCAGCGTACTACTGCTTTCTTAGATTCGTTTGTATGTTCGTTCGCTCACTTACTCATTCATTCTGTTCCACTTTTCCACTCTTTCAATGTTATGTCTTCACAAACCTTGACACTAGTCTGCAAATGAATATTCAATTCTTTGGAAACAAAGGCACTCCAAGGGGGAAACCAGATGTTAAAAAATAGAGACATCACCATACCATGTGACTTAAATAAAGTGTTACATGGAGAAAAGATGAATGAAAGAAAGAGAGAGCCAGCTCTGTATCTCTTATATTACCTAACATGGTTCTAATTATGACAATGTTTCAGATAATCATATTTTCATACTGTGCTGAATGTCCTTGTTTGTTTTACTTACTGAAGGACGTCCCTTTGTTCCAAGTTGTATTTTCCTCCATTCTTCATTGCCTCATTATGAATGGCTTCAATAGCTCTATCAATAGATTGCAGAACCACATCTTGTTCTAGCACCTAACGAACACAACATGTGCCACATTAAGCATATTCCTCTTCCCAACAAGGTTTATAAATAACAATATCGAATTGACAAATGTAGCCACCTTAAATCTGTTGCACAGGTAGCATCTGAAATATGCCCAATCATTTTGTAGTTATAACCCACAGTATTCATTTATAACAAAATCCATTTCCATTTACTACTTGATAAAGGTATTTGTTGGAAATTCTTTTGAAATAAACCGAATGAACCGGGTGGTATACAAAATGGCTTTTGTCTGTGTAAGATTTATTGGTAGAATAGAAAAAACATTTGTTCTGACAGCAGTGGAATATACATCACAGTTCTATTCACGCATCCTAGGCCCTGGAGTCCCTGCAATTCATTACATGAAGATCAATACCAAAACTTCAGAGGTACAAAGCAGCTCTTCAGATCAATTTCACATTCAAATTGCCATAGTGACTCTTCTACATTCATTGTAAGATAGGTGATAATTTTACATTTACCGTATCTTTTTTTGCTACCACTGCTCATTTTTGGAAAAACCAAAGGACTAGATTCCATCAATATCCTACAAATGAAAAAAATCTAGCAGCTAGAATTATACCTTCAGGCACTAGAGAGTGTAATAACTATTCTCCAACGTAAGCTGTTCAGCTAAAAGTAAAGTTTATGCAACACATGTCATACAAAATTATTATTTACACTCAAAATTTATGTTGAAATAATAAACAGTAATTATTCTTTGTATTGCCTTCAAGTAATATTGCAAATCTTAATCACTGAACTTCCTGGGGTCACCCAGCCACAGCCTATCATCAACTTTTCAAAGTTTGGTTTCACCTAGATAGGTTCAATCTCCACAATTTCCAGACAGTAGGGTTTTATAAGAGTTACAGTTCAGTATATTTTGAAGTGAATTAATGTCAGTCCTGTATACTCTTTCTTAGGCTAACTAAATGTTACTGCTTTGAACTTAAAGATAAGGTTGAAAAGAAACAATGAACAATAAACAATATTTGAAAGAAATTATCTAAAACAACTTTCATGGAAAATATACAAAAAAATATTATTGATATGTCATTTTATCTAAATAAAACCTTCTCATACTGCTTATAAATCATCTTTCAACACCATAATGAGAAACCATAATTGTTCCATGAAGACCAAGATCAATTTATATGCATCATTCTCCAAAACAATATGTATGTTTATCAGCTAAAATAAACAATTAATATTCAAAATATATGTGTGAGTGATTGTTTCATACAGGCTTCCCTTGTTCTCGTACAATCTCATCTGTATTTAATTCATTCATTAAATATTTCAACTTAAATTTCTTTGAGCTGTGTTTCTGTGACACATTGCAAAACAATATGCACACAAAATACTTCCAAAACTATTATTATCAGATTAACACAGTGCATCTTTTAAAAAAGTATTATCCTTTTTCTTATAATTTAATTAACACTAGACAACTCTGCAACATGTTGGGTCATCCTTTGACAGAAACATAGTGCAGTCTGATGTGACCAGAATCTTCTATCTCAATTAAATTCTCATTGTGTTTATTTGTTTGTACTCTCACGTTAATCCAAATAGTGTATTATATTACAATAATTTTTGAATCAAAGTACCTAAAATCCACTAACTTAAAGAATGTATAAACATGAGGGAGCCATCACTTCATTGGCATTGAAATTTTTATAATGTTCTGGCAAGCTGTATTTGCAAAATTGTGGCAAATGCAGTGTCTCTGTAGTCCCATATCATGATTTCCAATGCTCCCTGCAGCTTCCTAAAAGCAAAGTCAATGAGGAAGCCAGCAGGAAGTCAGAAGTCACTCCCACTGCTTTTTTTGCCTGCCTATGGTCGTTCTGTTGATCTACTTAGATAAGTAAATATTGTCCTATTATTAAAGTTTGCCACTACAATTATTTTTATTTATTTATGATATACACTCTTCTTAGATGATCACAGGACCATCCAGCTTTGGGGTAAAAACAATATGGTCACTGTAAAATTTAATGTTTATTCTGGTCACATCAGACTGCACTATGTTTCCCTCAAATGATGACACGTCTCGGGGTTATCTAGTCCAACTTAATACTGGTGTATTGGAAATGTGAAGGTGGGCAGCAGTTGATAATATGAGTTGACACGACTTTCACTGAATTCAGAGATACCTTATTCACGTGCACTTATTATACGTTAGTTATCTTTTTTTACAGGCCAGCATAGGTGAAATTGCAGAAATGAATCAATTTTGAGCTTCCCTGACAAAACATAGTAAGAGCAAACAAAATTATTTGTCCCTAAATCTCCACATTTATACTTTTGCTTTAGACTATCACCAAGAAAATGAGATTCATTTTCTGGTACCCATTTGTCTTTATAATATTGATACCTTTTCAATAAAATCCACAGAATGTTTACTCAAGCATTCAAGATGCTCCTCAAAGTTTCTGAACAAGGTATCTTCATCCTTTCTAAATAAAATCCTCCTTCCTCTTGCAGTCATTGCTCACAGTTTTCAGGCTACAGATGATTCAGATTTTGATACCGATCAGGAAAATACTGTATTTTCCTGAAGGGAAGATTCCCCCCCCCCCATTATCTTTTAAATGGAAATAAATTGTCCCAGATTTGCTGACCATATAGTAAGCAAGGCAGGGGCAACTCAACCTAAATTAGGGCTGTCTTGCTTCAACACACATATGCTATTTATCAATAGCAAACTCTTTTCTACAACCCAACCCCCAACCATTTTCTGTTTTTTATTCCCTCCCTCCTGTCAATACACATTAAAAAAAATATCTCCTGCAAAGTACTTCCCTAAATGTCATTCTTCAAAACACCATGGTTGTTTAAATGCCAGTCACATCAAAGAACTTGTTCAGCAGTCTAGAATAATCATATCTTTCAGAAAAACATTATTCTAGACAAATGGAATCTTATGGGCTGTGCTGACAGAACCAAAGATGGATGCAGGCGTGTGCTCTGCATGTAATTTACATATTTAAGGCAATGGGCCTATTACAGATATGACAATTCCCTGAAAAAATTTACCTTTCAAACCAAGCTTTTCTTTTCCTTTGGGAAGGAAGATAAAATACAATAATATTCCACTTCTTCCTTGTCACTCCCAATTTAGAGGAAACAGCCCAGACCCAAAGCCATTTCATTTCAAAGGTCACGTAATGAATTAAAAGCAAGATGCTTCTTATATTGAGAAAAAGGCTTTGCAATAACGTGCCACACATGTCAAGGACAATTTGAATGCTTTCCCTGGCTAGCTAAGAAACAAAAACATCAAGCAAATATCTGGATGGGTTTTTTTACCATGTTGTCCTGTGCAGACATAATATTTAACCATTATCTGCTCTAAACTTGCTTTGCTGTTTTAACCCCAATTAAAATTTAAATCAAAGTGGCAACTGTTAAATGAAACATCCCATTTATTACACATCATCACAAAAAAAGTGCTTTACCCTATTAAATGCCACTTCCTTCAGTGCTTCCAGTTAAAAGTTCCAGAATTAGTCATCACCACAGCAGATCAAAACATTTGCCAAAATCACATTGGCCTGATGGAAGTGTCACCCTTTTTATTTTTAATGCAAAACATGGTCCTTTGAATTCATGATTTCATATCCTTTTTGCTTTGACGTGCAATATGAAAATGATTTAAACAGAAATATAGTATAGAAGTAATAGTCAAACAAATAGCAAACAGAATCCTTTTTAATGTCTAATTCCTAAGCATGTTACTGGTATTCAGAGACAACATTTAAAGCCAACTAGCAAACAATTGGTTTACTGCAACAGGTTTCTAAAACAAAAAGGATTTCCATTCTCCTAACTTGTATGAGAAAAAAGATTGATTAGAAATTAGTGGTACACAAAGGGAGCCAGCACTTATCTTCATGCACGGAATTCTACTTCTTTCCTGTAGCCATCACCTGAACAGAGAGGGCAGTCAGTCACATTGTCCAATATGAATGTGTATTCAGAAGAGAGAGTAAGAGTAATACACTCAAACTTCTTCTCTTATGGGGAAATATATCATTGCAGTGAACAATTATTAAACATTAATTAAAATTAATTGAAATATATTAGATGAAAATACCAAGCTGTTCCTACTCACTGCTATGATAAACTGGAGGCAGAAAATGCACAGTGCTAACTTACAACGGACAACAGAACTTTCCCAATAAACTGGATTAAATATATTTGACTTTTCCTTTGATAGGTTGATGGTTCATTTATGTAGTTTACATTATTGGGTCTTATGAGAACCATACATGCATAACCCCTCAGTTATGGTAGTGAGGTCAGGTAGGTATTTTACCCTGCCAATCCTGACTGATAGTAAACATTTTTTTTCAAAAACTCTGCCTTGAAATAAATCTAGATAAATGGTAACATTCTGTCTTAGTGAGCTTTTTTCTTTCTGCGACTGTCTGGGTAAGACCAAGTAGAACCATATTGCCAATAGCAAGGATGACATGTTAGTTGAAAATTCACTTTTCAACTGATTATACATAAAACTGAAGCTGAAAGAAATGAGTAATACGACCTCCATTCAAACACAGAAATGCTTTTAAATCAAGATGAGATAAATCAAAATCCCAACATGATTTCTGTTGTGGCCCGGCAGGAGCCGTTGGAGCTGCCACCAGACTCCGACAGCGAGGGGCCCTCTGAGTCGGCTCTGGAGGATGTGGAGAACCTTGGACAGGGTTCCGACTCCGAGCAGGGCGCAGAGAGACTGGTTGGCCACCAGGTGGCACCT